TTACTCAAGGAAGGATGCACTTTCTCTAGATGTGTTCTGTCTAAATGCCTATCTGCCTCCAAATTCTTTAGATTTCTATCTTAAGAGGCTCATCCTATTGGAACAACTCTGATGACCCCATCCACCTAAGCACCAGCTCCTCTGGCTCTCCAGGGATTCCCCCTCAGGAGTGTTGCATGACCCCCCCCACCCTCACCCCAGTCCTCAGAGCTTGAAAGCCTCTTGGAGTTCACCTGATCCAGTGCCCAAGTCCACACCCATTGTACAGATGAGAATCTGAGCGCGGAGAAGGAGGGCAGGCTGCCCAAGGGCCCAGACTCAGTCATCAGTCACGAACAATGGTGACTGAGAGCTCACAAGTGCCCTCCGGCTTCAATTCCTCACCTATTAAATGGACTCATTTGGCTGCCTTGTTTGCCCCAGGGTATAGCTTTGGTTCTGGAGCAAGCAGGCCTGTGTTAAAATTCTGACTCAGAATTCGAATATGACCAGGTATAAATAACTTAACCTTTTTGAGACTCGATTCCATATCTCTAAAACAGGTTTGCTTCTTTAGGTTTCTATCTTAAGGCTCATCCTATTGGAACAACTCTCTGCTGACCCTATCCACCTAAGCACCAGCTCCTCTGGCTCTCCAGGGATTCCCCCTCAGGAGTGTTGCATGACCCCCCACCCTCACCCCAGTCCTCAGAGCTTGAAAGCCTCTTGGAGTTCACCTGATCCAGTGCCCAAGTCCACACCCATTGTACAGATGAGAATCTGAGCCCGGAGAAAGAGGGCAGGCTGCCCAAGGGCACAGACTCAGTCATCAGTCACCAACAATGGTGACTGAGAGCTCACAAGTGCCCTCCGGCTTCAATTCCTCACCTATTAAATGGACTCATTTGGCTGCCTTGTTTGCCCCAGGGTACAGCTTTGGTTCAAGAGCAAGCAGGCCTGTGTTAAAATTCTGACTCAGAATTCGAATATGACCAGGTATAAATAACTTAACCTTTTTGAGACTCGATTCCATATCTCTAAAACAGGTTTGCAATCCTTACCCCACAGGGCTGTTTTGAGAATAAAATAAGACAACATACAGAGAAGATAGGAAAGCACCCAGCACTCAACAGTGGTAACAATTATAACTACTATTAATTATCATTGCCATGGGCATGGAGACAAGGCCTCCTGGACCCCTCTACACAGAGCCTCCCTTTCCCTCCCACTCCACCCTTCTCAGCCAAGACTCCCACTGTCAGGCTATACATCTATGTCCCTGGGCCCATTACTCCTCCTCTGACTCCCTTTCCACCTGGAATCCCACTAGCGCCCCAGGTCCAAAGCAGCAAACGAACAATTTGGCTCCATCTCTGTGCCTAGCTCACCCCAAATGGTCCTCTCCCCATTCCTCCTTCTGGAAATCAGGTCACAGCTCCGTATATCGTGGGATCCAGCCCCTACTGCCCCTGCTGCTGCCATGTCCCCCAGTACAGAGCCTCCACCAAGCACACATTCCAGTGTCTCCCTTGAGGAGTCCCAGTTCCTCAGGGCCTATGTTGACTTTAAGGTGACATGGGAATCCTGCATTCCAGAGGTAGTATCTCCCCCTGCACCAAACTCCAAGGCTCCCAATAAAAAATGCTTTCATTCCCCACTCCCAGTAGATTTCCCATACTCTTGTGATGCCTTGTGAAGGCCAAATGCCCAAAGGCTTTAAGGGTGTAGAGGAGGAACCCATTCTCTGGACAAGAGGACAGGGAGAATGTGGGCGGCTGGCAGAGCACAAGTCAGAACCGGAAGGCATAGGAGGGGCTCCTAGAGGCATGAGGGTACTGAGAACCAGGTCTCCAGAAGGATAAGAACCTAGCAATGGCCCCTACAAGGCTGCCAGCATGACTAGTCTGGGACATGAAGGTCAAGCCTGCCCTCTCCCTGACTCTCCAAATGAGTCCTCTCTACCTCGCTGTGGGGACCCCTAGCCAGGCTACAGAATGAGTGAAGCATATGCCTGCGTTCCGAGTGGCAGAAAGAGCCAGTTCTGGAGACAGACCACATCCCAGCTCTAGCATTTGCCAGCTGTGAGTCTTTGGGCATGTGACTTCCCCTCAGTTCTGAGCCTCAGTTTTCCCATCTATACAAGAGGGCTAATGATACCCTACCTCATAAGACTGCAATGATGATTAAATGAAATGATATCTTTTGAGCATCCAGCACAGCTCCACTCCAAACCTGAAAACCCAGTGTTCCCGTATGGAACCTCATACTAGAGGGGAGGCAGAACTAAGGGTGCCAAGTGAGGGAGTGTTGCATAATAGTGCATGTGGCCCTCTCACAGATGTTTGATTCATTCCGAGCCAAAGGAAATTTCTGGAGGATCACATGTTCCCAACCACTTCCCTCTCCTCCAGGTCCTGGATATGCCTCCCCTCTTTTGCTGGTGGACCACCCTGTCACTCCGGTCCTGGGGGATGTGGGAAAACAATAGCAATGAGAAGTTGTCACCCAGAGGACAAGCTCATGGGCAGTGACCTCATCCTGCCTGCCCTTCTTCCCCCTCCCGACCCCATGACTCAGGGTCACAGGCTCAGGCCCTATGTGGTCATAATCTCAGAGGCCTCTTGGATCTGGGTCATTTTCTTCACCCAGCCCTAACTCCACATGTCTAACTGAGAAGTAGCCATCAACAGGCCAGATGCCTGTCCTACAACACTTTCGAGGAGTCTCTCTGGGTGCTGTGGAGTCCCAGCTCATGGTTCTATGATCCCACTGCATCTCTGACCCCAAACTATACTGTTCAGGTCAGTGAAACCCAAATTCTCCTTTAGAGAATGAAGATTTATGACTCTAGAGAAGGCTACAGTTTAAGGATGGGGGAATTCCCATAGGAAGACTTAGAAGTTGGCCTCTCCAGAATAAGGACCCAGCCTCCTCAGAAGGGACAACACTTCCCTAACTGTCCTTTCCACAAACATTCAAGCATCCAGATATCAGGTATCTGAGCAACCCAGACTTCCAGCTAACCTACTCCCATCAGGTGCATGGCAGAGCTGAAGAGGACCAGGGACAGGAAGCGAAGCAGTCCTCAAGTCTGGCACTCTTCTCACCTTCAGGCTTACATCTACCTGGGCTGCTCACCTCTAACAAGCTGGATTGTCTGATTTCTTGGAGCATAGGAGTCTGGAGTAAATTGGAAAGCTCACATTAGCAGTCAGGAGAAACCACTAGTGAGGTCATTGAAGAGAGATGAGAACTCCAGAGATCAGTAATGGGACCAATAAAAGCATCACTAAAGCCACTAAGTGTAAAGCTCACTCTCTTAAGAGTCCCCTTGCTTTACTACCCCTTAGTGCAAAAACTGATGCACACAGTGCCGACCTAAAGTCATGAAGGAAAATGAGTGTCTTGATGTCAGATTGTGCTATATGTAATATGGGGAGAAAGATTTCCATGCTCAACAATTAACAGAAGTGTTACTGCTTAAGCTCAGGAACTTCAGATGTCAGAGAAATGTACTTACCCCAAACAGTTCCACTCCCAAACAAGCTGGAACTACCAGCCCCCACTCACACCCCGCATCCCCACAGCCCTCCACCCCTCCCTGCACTCAGGTCTGACCCATTGAACATGTTTAAACTTCAATTTCAAGTTTATACTTCAATTTCTCTCAGCCTCCAAAAGTGCCCTACCTATGAGCAGGCCCCCAAACTACAAGGAAGGCTGCACAGCATCAGATTTCCTAGGGATTTCTGGGAGGCCAGAGGGAATTAGCCAGGGGACTGAACTAAATAAAGAACTCTTTTTTAAAGACTGACTGGCTTCAATACTTTCTAAAGCAGAAGCTAACTGCTAAAGATGCCTGTAAGAAAGGGACCTGGGGCTTTAACTGAATGATGAAATCAGACTCATTTATAATCATCCACAGCCAATTTGAAAGTAAATAGTCTTTCTTTCTTAAGTCAATCTCCGTTCCCCCAGCCCCCATTCCCCAATCACTTTTGCTTTACTATTTGCTTGACGTTTTCCTCAATGACAGACCTCATATCTGAGTCACTCATCACGCATTTCTCATTAGGGCAGGTTTCCCTTAGAAATAAATCCCTTTTTCTGGCAGTTCACTGTCTTAGGCCTCCAGACCTACCCATTGCTGGCTAAACAGCAAGTGAGGGCCTTGGGATTCAATCCCCTCCCCTCTCGTGTGCCCCTACCCTGGTCTCTACCTTCCCTCCACCGGTCCCTGTCTCTCTTAACCCTACCACATCCACCATCTCTGAAACTTCGGAAGCCCAAACCGCCCATCCCTGCGCTCTCCCGTTCTTTGGCTTTCTTCTGTCTCCTCCCCTCCCCCAACATCTATTCACCTCTTCACCCAGGCTTGCTGTCCCTACCTGTTCTCAGAATCTGTCCCCCCAATGTCCACTGCTGCCTGTGGCAGTCCCCCCGTCACCTACTCCTTCATCCTTCAAGGCCAAGTGGAGTGGACCCGAACCACTCGCCCTCGGCTCTCGGGCAGCTTCCCCTCCTCAGCACTCGTGGTCACGGTGTTTTCTTCTGCAGGGCGCGGGAGACTGCTTCTCTCCCAGCTCCAGCCAGCAGGTTAAGCTTTCCAGAATCACTAACACAGTGACAGATCTGCCTCCATGCCCCCCTGCACACCCCGGGCCTCTGTAATCACGACCACCCACCCAATCTTCTCCAGCGGCGTCCGGGGTGAGGGCAGGTCGCACACTTCTCCAGCCCCCTGGACCGGAGGAGGAGGGGGAGACCAGGTCGGGGGCGGGGTTGGGTTCCAGCCGCCCCCAGCTGCCTCAGGGCCCGGGAGGCCGGAATGCGGCTCGGGTTCCCGGTGCTCACGGCTCGGAGGCCGGCGCGGGACCCAGGGGTGTTGGTGGAGGGGAGAGAGGGAACGGAGGAGAGCACACTGCAAGGGAGGGGACGCCTCGCTGCCCACTCTAGCGGCCCTGCAGCAAGCAAAGGCTACAGACAAAGGCCGCCCGCGCCCGCGCCACGCAAGCACTCACCGTGCCGCGCCCTCTCCCGGGATCCAAGACTCCTCCGAGCTTCGGAGTCCCTGCCTCCGTTGTTACCGCAGCCGCCGCGAGGCCGGGCCCTAATGGGGGCCGGGGGCGGCCCGG